AGGTTAGGTAGGTAGGTAGGTAGGGTTTGGGGTTTACAGTGTAGGGTTCGGGGTTCAAGGTTTGGGTCTAGAGTTCCGGGTCTACACTGTATATGTTTAGGGTGCAGGTTTTATGCGGTATAGGGTTTAGGGTTCATGGGTTTGGGTGCAGGTTCCGGGTCTGGGGTCAAGATCCGAGTGTATGGTTGAAGGTTTGGGGTGATAGGTGAATTCGGGCTTGTGGGCTTCGTCTTACCTGGACCGAAAGGACCGAGCTTTTAAGGGTTCCTTATTCTGATTTCAGGGTAAACAAGATCACACTTTTAAGCTTAGGGGGGGCTTCGGGATTTGGTGCTAGAACGGCCTGTGGCTTTCATGCTTTGGAACATTAGTGGTTTTAAGCTTAGGGGGGGCTTCGGGATTTGGTGCTAGAGCGGCCTGTGGCTTTCATGCTTTGGAACATTAGTGGCGGTACTAGTCGGATGATACAGTATACTGCTTGCAGTGGCAGTAGCAAGATTGCCCCAAAACAGCAAATGCTGGCAACATACTCTCTATACCTGAAGCAAACCCGGCTAAGATACTGCCCAAGAAGCTAATATACCCTGCAACACACACCCAAGAAGCAAAACCTGCCAAGATACCCCCGATAGTGGGCAAGATCTTCTAACACATATACATATAATATACCTGACCCTTCCGAGGTGCTCTCCAACGAGTACTACCTGACCAGATACCTGGCAACACCTCAGAATACACCCCAATAACCCACAAAACTTGACAACATAGATTGGGCTTCATGTGCTGTTTAGGCCTACAAAGGTAAGTTCACGGTCTGTTTTGCAAGGGTTGGTTGGACCACAATACAGCAGGGTTACTGTGGGCCCCGGAATTCCCCATAGCACAAGAAGCCTCCAGTTTCTTCTGGAGCCACACGAAGCGTTGGCTCTGCATAAGCAATGATGTTCTCGGTTGTTCCACCACCCACCATTGACCCAAACTTGTAGCCAATAAGCATATGAATGCCGACCTCAGCCCCAGGAACTTATACCCCGCTGACTTGTAATCAATTCGACACATCTCAATGGCCCACATAGTATGACCCGGGCCTGGCTGCCATAAGGTTCGAATCGCGAACTTTCTGGTAACCTGTATATCCTTCAGGATTAGCGAAGCTTCGTTTGGTGGTTGGACGGGACATAGATACCCAAGAGCTGCAAAGAACCCCAAGCCATATGCAGGATTTCGGGCGACCACAAAGAACTGCTGCACAGAATGTCCTTAGCTTCGAAAACCGTATAGAACCAAAGCACACTCGTATACCATGACCCCGACCCATGCAGCCCACGAATAGTATGGAAGCAAGCGACCCGAAGCCCGATGACTTCAAGATATCCATGCCCCGGCCATACTTGTAGTCGCATGCAGCTACCTCCTTCCCTTCGAAATAGAACTCCTTGGAAAGGGTCGCTGACCCAGAAAACAGCTCTGCCAGATCGACGTCCTGGCGCGTGAGATAAGATTAGAGTTGCGAGGTTTTAGAACGGCTAGGGTAGGGTGCAACTTTATGTATAGACCCAGGTGTCGGCAAGGTTCTGAGTGTGTCTGCGTGTGTCATACATAGTGTGTGATAGTATGCATGGGGGAATAAGATGAATGAACCCGTTAGTGCATGCGACACAACACGAGGTTTGGATTGTTAAGGGGTTATGGGTCCTCGTAAAAGTAGGAATTCTCTAGATTGCACAAGTTATATATTACAAATCTATACGATGTTGCCGGGTTAAACATGGTAAGACGAGGAGATGTCAAATATGAGTGAGGGAGTATTATAATAAAGGAAGAGGCACGGGATGTTGCAAGATGCTGGAGCTGCCTTTGTGTCAGCCTGTCCTAGAAAGAACCACGATCCGAAGCCAAACCGAACCATAATCGTGTATCGATACATCAAAAACCAGAAAGAGGCAGAGGAGAGATGGGGGATATATTATTTATTCGAACATAGTTAGGCATCCTGGCAAAACCCCAGTCCTTGGTAAAGTCGATGCTGGTATTCCACAAGAGCAGCAGGATGCAAAGGACGAAGACCTGAGCCACAGAATTTTATGGTTTGGGGTTTTGGGATAAAGAGTTATTTTGGGTTAGGAGGCTTACGTTTTCATAGAACCAGCTCCCTTCGTGTCACTTCGGGAATGCCTGGAACAAATTGTATACTGGCCCGCTTGGCTTCACGATTTCGGGTTTAAGGCTCCGGAACTAGTTTGGGCTCTACACACTGAACCTTGAAACCTATATATAACCTAAACCCCGAACCCTAAAACTGTAAGCATATTAAATCCCAGACACCCGCAAAATATTGATCAAGACACCTTGGGCGATCCGAGGCGAATCAAGCTGAGCGCTACGTCCTCAAATCTGGGTTTCGCCATGCGAGCGACGGCGACAGCGGAGGCTATATCGATGAATTGTTGTAAATCTAATCTATCATCCACCAAGCTAGCGAAATAGAGCATAAGAAGACTTGACTGCCAGCATTGCAGACCTGTGTCGGCCGTACCCAATGTTCCGGACCAACTGAGGCATGACTGTCAGTGTCGGACAATTGAATAACAAACAGTTGGCATGCACATCACACTGGTCGGAACTTAAACTGGCAAGGCTGGCTGCTCTTGGCTTGCTGGCGCTCTGAAGCTGCAGCACTCAGCAAACGATGCCTGGCGCCTTTCCGCCGAAGGTAGTTCCGAACCTGGCCAGACCAGGGGTCATCGTGGAGTAGAATATATAAGTGTAATCCATGTAAACAAGCAAAGACAAGTAAACGATGTTCAGTATAATTGACTGACAGGCATCGGATCCAAAATATTTTCACCCGCAAACAGTCGCCGTGATCATGGCCCATGATGGAAAGAAGCCGCACGGTCATGAGTAGGACTCAGCTTCGAATTATCTGAAGCCAGCAGCTTGCCCCTGACAGCATGTATTCACGCTAGCATAAGCACCCTGGCGAGCTTTCAAAGCTCTTCCCCGGTAGCGCAAGCATACAACCAGGAAGCATGCACCCTGACCGGCCCGGGTTCACCGAGCATCCTGTGTGGATGCAAGCACGTAACAACTGGAGCTGAAGGCCATAGCAAATATAGGATGGAGTCGCTTTGGCTCATGCTGGATTGTAGAACGAATCAATAGCAGCAATCCAGCTCCGGCTTCATCGGCATAATCACATAGTCTCTAGAAAATCTTTGGCTGCCAAATAGCAGCCCCTGTACACAAGAACTCTGGTCATTTGCTCGTCCTCCTCAACGGCCTGCTTCGCGAAGTTGTAGAATGCGAACTGCAAAGGGCCCATGTAGATAAGTGTAAGCGCTGGGCATCGGGCAACTGATCGAAGCTTTGCAAATCTAAGCTTAACCGAAGTTAGAAGCAATATCGGTAATACCACGGCGCAAATTTCACAGGCTACATTGGGTCGACATTATTGTTATAACAGTAACAAACCCAATAATTATTTTGAACCCCAGGCCTGAGTGGCTGTCGCAGTTCCGGGCAACAAGTGGGGCAACAAGACATTGCGGTATGCACACACGCATCCCTCCCAAAACCTCTGTGTGAAGTTTGCCTGGCGAGGTCTGTAGCGGCGGGCAAAAGTCCATGGCCACTCATTCCCACTTAGGGTCTTCTTTGGCGACGGCTCTGACTGCTTGGCAGCACTCGTCTTGCCACGAACCCGTGCAGCAGGAACAGCAACCTCCTGGGGCACATCGCCCTGCTTCCTTTTCTTCGACTTAGACACGGCAACCTCCGCGTCGGCCTCCTTCTTGGATCGCCCAGCCTTGCTCTTCGTCTCCGAGGGCTCGCAATTGCGGGCCTTCTTGGCCTTCGCGGCGACCTCCTCCGATTCGGACGGCTCGCGCTGAGCCTTCTTGGGTCGACCAGGCTTCTTCTTGCTCTGGATGTCCTCAATCTTGTCGGGGATTTCGGTCTCGTCCGTCTTCTCGGGGGCTTCGGTCTCGTCCCCATCAGCACCATCATCCACCTCAGGCGTGGGCTTCTGCCCGCGGCCACGACCGCGGCCGCCGCGGCCGCGACCTCTCCCACGGAAGGCCTCTTTGGCTTCCTTGGCAAGCTTGTTTGCCGCCTGATCGGCTTTCTTCTTGGCTTCCTTGCCGGTCTTGCACTGAAGCTGATCGTCCCGTGTGGGGTACTCCTTCATCGGCGTGATCTCGACCGGCAGAGTACCTCGGGGGCTCGGGGTCTGCTCAGGGTCCACTGTGGCTGTTGGCAAACGGGGTCTGCTCAGGGTCCACTGTGGCTGTTGGCAAAGCATCCGGTGACTTCACATCCACCGGGGGGCTCGGGGTCTGTTCAGGGTCCACTGTGGCTGTTGGCAAAGCATCGGGTGACTTCCTATCCACTCGGGGGCTCGGGGTCTGCTCCGAGTCCACTGAGGTTGTTGGCAAAGCACCCGGCGACTTCACATCCACCGAACGTGGACTCAACACCATCGTCTTGTCCTCCGCAAACGTCCGGCCCGGAGATGGCACAATCTGGTCCAAGCCAAGCATTGCATTGGCGAGCAGTTGGGTGCTCAGCTCATAGGTCTGGGTCTCCACAGCATCCGGATTCGATGCTCCTCCTTTGGAGGGGCATGCTGCAACAGCCAGCATCGTAGAGCCTGGGCTGGCCTCCTCGTCAGAATCCACTTCAATGGGTCCTCCAAAATGCCCATGCATTGTCATGTATGCAGACATCACGCACACATGCACATGTAAACTGATCATGCACGAAAGTCAGTTGCGCGTCCTTGCGGAAGAATCTTGGCAAACTGCTTAGCGGCACGCTTGCGCTCGATCGCCATCCTCGGCTATTATATTGGACTGACGTTTCAGATTAATATGTGTCGCAAGAAGACTCTCATGAACATATGCAGCCCAGCTTCAATCGCTTGGCCTCCATCTTCAATTCCGCAATCACGAGTTGCTGCTCCAGCTCCTGTTGCGATGGCTGCCTCGGTGGCAGAGAAGACGGATCCTTGACACGAGGGTCCTCCGGATTTGTTGGCGATGCCTCCGCTGAACCCTTGTCCTGTGGCACCTGATTTACCGGGGGCCTTTCTGGAACCACTGCATCTGGGGTCTTGTCCTCTGGCACAGGATTTACCGGGGCCGTTTCTGGAACCACTGCATTTGGGGCCTCATTGTCCTTTGGCACCGGATTTGCCGGCAACTGTACATCCATGTCTGCCTGGTCCTTCGGCTCCTCAATCTCCGTGGGCAAGTCCAAATCTGCAAGTACCTCAGATGCCGATTGCTGGGGCTCCGCAGTAGTCGGAGCTTCAGCACAATCGTCGGGATCGTCGATGTCATCCTCGTCCCCTCCAGCTCTCAAAGCCCTGGCCAGACGCTCTCCAACCACCTCAACGGAAGAACAGCTCTCTTGCAGGATCGCAAATTTGCAGACATGCTCTTGCAAACCCCGTTCAGCAAGGATACACGTGTCAGGTTTTCGTAAGCTCGCTGGAACTCAGCCACCATCTTGCGAAAGGTCCGGTCCTCATGGACACATGACAATCGAAAGGCAAATTCAACACGGACAAAGCGAAGTCCCCGAGCGAACAAACATGTGAGTCCTAGTACAATCAAGATTCTCTCGGAGTCTGGCCACGCATCCACTTGCGCTTCACACAGGTGAGCATGCGCTTCATACCCCATCCGTCCGAGTAAGCAGCAACACCCAACGATGCAGCATCTGGATAGCCGGAGTGGCAATGGAACTCCAATGCAGCTCCTTGCAGCAGAAACACCTTCGGCACGAAAATGCAAGCCTCGTCGGCCATGACTTTCAAGGTGACCAGCAACACATCGCTGTTAATTTTGCAGCACTCGATGCTGCCGATCACAACCTCACGGTCACCGTGCCCTGGCACAATCATTCCACGCAACAGGTTTCCGCCCTGCAGGCTACGCTCTCGAAGAGGTCGTCTGGACTCCCACGCTTGTGGCAGCTGTGCCACCCACTGGAAGCTTTTAGCCTCGAAAGCACTACTCGACGCCGCCATGGCGCTGACTGAGGACAAGCTCACTGGAGAACAAAAGCCGTCCCGGTACAAAATGCATGCTGTCACAGGTATTCAATCTCCGAACGGAAACCGAGCTTGCAAAAGCCGACTTGCCGACCGAGCCTTGTCGTTACTCCAACTGGTGGGACGATCCTCTGCCCTGCGGAGAAGGCAACACTGCACGGTGCTCCCTATGTCCATGAAACATGAAGCTCAACCCATGCCGGCAGCTCATGGCGAATGCCAAGCTTCACCGATCATCTCCGTGGAGATTGCAGAGCCCTGCCACACAAGGAACTATATAAAAATATAGGACATTCCCCATTATAGTCGACGGGAGCCCTGCATCACAACCCAATCTGGCCGGGCACACGCACCACGTCACATCCGCCTTCAAACTCGCCACCATCTCTCCAGTGTCGGCCCTGCCGTGCAGCAACGGTGGCCTATGCATATTATACTCCCACCCTAAGTATCCAAAGAAGCTCAACTTAGCCGGGTGGACCGGGCACGTGCTCACACCATTGGATCCATGAACCGAGTATGGACTCTTACAATGTACACTGTGCACTTTCTGCAGAATGAGTGTGTTGTCCTGTCCTACTGTAGCATAAAGACGAACTGCACTGCAAGTCTTATTTGCATGGGGCTTGAGAGTCTCATCAAAAGGTCTGAAATTGACCTGAAATACGACAATCTCTATATTACAATATACCCATATAAGAAACACCCGATGCAGATCTATAGTACGGTTTAGGGTCTATATAGGGCTTATAGGGTTAAGGGTGGAATCAAGATTCTCCTATGTGAGCCAGCAGCCTGGTGGGGGAAATGCATGGAGCCACAGCGAGCACGTTTGTTCCTCAGGCCACCCTGTTGGCGGGATAATTGGCTTGTGTAGGGATTATGATTATGGGCTATGGGTCTTATAATCAGAAATATGCTATTTACGCCCTTTCTTTCCGGAATCCGAGATTTACGCCCTCTTTCGAAAAGACCAATAATTGCTTATGCTTTCGGTGTTCCAGGTAGATCTTGTTAGATCTTATTAAATAGTCTTATTAAATTTTATTAGATCTTAGTAAATCTGTTTGAAGCTCATTAAATCTTATTAGATTATATTGGTTCGTATAAACCTCCAAGGGAACTAAACCCAGTGGAAGTGGACCCCGGATTTAAGCCAATGACAGTAACAGTAGCAGTAGGAGTAGTGGCAGCAGCCCTCATTCGCTTCCAAGAAGTTTGTTGTTCGTTGCTAGCTTAGGCAGGTCTGCCGCCACATGCGAATCCCACGAACCGACGATTTTGCGTGCAGATGCTCCTTAGAGAGGCAGGGTACTTGCAAGTAGCATGAAACGTGACAAAAATAAAGTAACCAGCCCGCTGACGACGGCTGTGAGAAGTGCGGCCTTGAGCTGCGAAGTCTTTTGCATGTTTGTGGCACCTCGAAGTCCGAAAGTCAATGCGCGCAGATACGATGAAGCTTGTGCCACAGGGCCCCTCACAGGGCCACAGGTTTTTTTATTGTCGATTTGCATGGGGCCCGCTAGTCTCTCGAGCATTTTGGTGTTCCCATCCCGACCATCATGCCCGAATGCAGGCAAGTAGGAGCTACCGAGATGCCCTAGCCTTGCTGAGCTTCTTGCAGAGTTCGCCAGTCTGGCGCAGGAGCGCTTGGTCCAGAGCTGCAATGCTTCAATCGCGAGGTGCGCTGTAAGAAATGTGCTGGACATATGCTCCAGCTGCTTCACTTCACAAGCCATGGTGGTAGGCTGAAGCGCCTGGTATCTCCCGAAGTGTGCGACAGCACGGCGCGCATTCGTGCAGGGGGGCAGCCTCACGGGCACCACGCGAACCCGCCCATGTGTCGTTCAGCAGGGACCTTGAACAACAGGCACACAGACAAACAGTGATCCCGAAATCCTGGGGAACAGGCAAGATGTTCGAATGTTGTTGGTCTTGCCACCTTCTTGCCACCACTCTTCGTAACATCTCCACCCGTTGATGTAAACTGCCTTTGGAAGCTGCCAGTAGTTTGATCGCAGGTTGTCGAACGGACAAGAGACTCTGTCATGCCACGGTCAAGTTTTACGAGAAGGCGACTCTGCAATCTACATACCGGTGCAGCTCTCATGCGCAGTGTCCTTCAACATAGCCACTGCCTGATCAGACGCGTCGCTGGAAGCAAGCGATTGGTGTCCTGTGTGTCGCTTGGTTGCACGTGCGTGGAAATTTTACATATCTGTGCATTCTGCTGCAAACGTTCCGGTGCGCGTCTGACTGCATGCACTGCATTTGCGCTACAAGATATCAGTTGAGATTTACAGCACTGCTTGAGACCTGTCACTGTGCGGCTTGCAGGACATGCACATGTTTGGCTTGCGCCCTGACATTGCCACACTCAATGCTGTGCCAGAGGCTCAGGACGGAAAGCCGTGCACAACTAAACTAACAGAGCAAAATCAGGAAAAGCAATTGAACACACGAGTAAGGTGTCCAGGCTTGGCTTCTCATTGCAGGTAGTGCCACTGCATGAGTGTTCTTCATCACAACCACACATGTCGAAATACCAGGTTCGTGACTTGTGGCCAGAGCCGGCTTTGGTGTGCAGCTTTGGATCTGTGAGCCCGGCCTGCTTTGTCCAAGATTCTTCAAAAGGATCCGCTGGATCCGGACGCAGCTTGCTGCTTCCAACGCGGTGTTCCTCTGAAATGCGTGAGGTGTTCCGGGTAGGGTGGGCATCATGAGTCCTGGTGGGCACAGCCGAGAGCTTTGGTGGGAAACAGGGGACAACGGATGGCAAAGGGGGGCCTGTGATGTGGGTGCACCCGGCAGGTCGCAAAACACTTTATGCGCAGAGTTGGTTCCAGACGGGTCTGAACAGCGAAGTCTCAATACAAACCCAAACTCACAAATGCCCAGCTTCCTAGAATCAAATTGTAACGGAGAGGCAAGGCCCTACAGGAACATACTTCCTCAGAGGTTTCAAGAGTGGAATGTATCTTACATCATCTGTTGCCATGATGTTTAGCGGTGTAGTGTAAGTCACCCGAGCAAGCACGCGTCGGTCCAGAAGAATCGCTCTAGCAGTGATGCGAACGTTGGAAAGCATGTGGCCAGGATGCGGCAGTTCACACCTCGGCACGCAGAGATGGCAGCCTGACAAATAGATTTGGAGACGTCACTTGCGCGCCAAGGATGCCCCGACTCAGAGTGCAGAAAGACATGGTATCATACGATGCGCTGGCAGCTGGCTTACAAGTAGTCTGGAGAGTCAAGGCCTCGAGCCGGACTGACAGAAAGCTTTGCATGCTCTTGCTGAGGTTACTGTACAGGGTCGCGAGACTTTTTGGCAGGGTGTGGTACAGCTACTTCTGCACTCCAGGCAGCCAGCAGGCTGTTTCCGCCAGGTTGTGCTTCTCGATTTCGGTTCCGCATAGGCTTCGGCCGGACCGAGCTCTGGTTGGCAGATCCATGCAGGTCCTGGCCAGGGCGGCAGCCTTGATACAAGTCCATTCTTACAAGCTGTGAAGTTGCTGTGTCTTGAGGCCGACAAGCCCGAGATGGCCCGTGCACTGCGCTTTAGCTAATTCTTATCGACTTGAGCTGGTTGTCACCATGAGTGTCACCATGTGCTCAACAGCTGATCATTGCTGCAGTCAGCAAACTAGCAACTGTCGTAAATGGACATGACTGGTTCTGTGGCTAGCGCTTTGGTGTTCTTTGCAGCAGCCAAGGTCAATAATTGGAAGAGAACGAGCGGAAGCATCAGCTGAAAAAGGGCGCAACGAGATGCTTTTGCGCATGCCCTCATGTCAGAGACTTGCGCCGCGGCACGTCGTAGCATCGATGATTTTCGTCACGAACTCTGTAGATCTCTTCTGTCTTCCTTCCCATTTCCTCCGGCCAGTTTTGGACTTTGCTCGTCGGCCTGATCGTTGTTGCCGCAGCCTTGGAGCTGATTCCGGAGGCCGGAGGCCTTTCAAAGTAGAAACATTTGGAGGCTTGGAGTCTTTGATTGCAGTGATCCAAGGCCTGGCTTCTGCCATTCTTTAGCTGAGTGCAGAAGCACGGAACGATGTGTACCGTCGTGCATCATCGCACTTGGGGGAGGCCGAAGCATGAGGTCGAGACTTGGCAGACTGCACAGAGCGGCGGCCTCGTGTCTTGCGGCTGGACTTGTTTCAGGTCGTGTATATATATACTGTCCAGATTGTGCTGCTTAAATCATAATTCACGTCGGATCGTGCCTTGCCCGTGCCAGTTGGATGTGGATCTGCATCAAGAAAATCCCACTGTGTGTGCCTCTTTGACAATGCCGGTGAAGCTGTCAGGATGATCCAGATGCTCGTAAGAGGCAGCTCAATGCGAGTCTGGCAACGCACATTGCGCAGCCTTCTGCTCGAGCTCGAGCAGAGTAGGCGTCCTGTGCCAAATGTCCGGTCATGGCGATCACCACGGCCACGGCCATGACTTGGAACGGCCCCTGATGGATGGCCACAGCCATGGGCACCGAGGCCACGAGGCCTTGGGCTGAATGCCAGCGTCTAAGACATATATTATGCGTCTGCATTTCTCTTTGTACACATACATACGTGTAGCACGGATTCACTGGCTTTTGAGCCTGACGCTGCGAATCCTCTTGCATAATAGCCTCCTGCGCTTCTGCTCCAACAGCACAGCCTTGCAGTCGTCCGCCAAGACCCAAAACAGATCCTGCCTGCATCTTCAGCTTTCCTAGTCCCTCAAACTCAGTACCCTACTTTTTTTTTGCCCTGACGAGGACCAGTCTGATGGCCACGATCATGGCCATGGCCACGGCGACGAAGGACATGGCCACAGCCACTCTGTGGAGACGTCAAAATCCGACTATCTCGATGATGAGCAGCGTCTGCGAAGAGCCGTGTTCTGGGCTCTGCCACTTGGCTCTAGCTTTCCATGAAGCCGTGGCCGCAACGACACAATGCTTATCGCGTTTCGTGCCATGCTGTTGCTAGGAG